GAGCGTCGCTTGCCTAGTCTGCAGTGTTTCTGATTGACACATGATTTCATGTCGAGATCTTCTCTTCTACGCCTGACTCGAAATCCGTGCAGTGGTAGAAACGCTCCCTGTTGACACATTCGGAAGACATGTCTGCTCCATGACGATCCTTCGGCCAAACAACGCTGCGTGCTCAGGTCACAATCAAACGCGTACCGTCCTTGGCAAGCTTTTGTTCGACTTCATTGAATTTTTGTTTGTCACTTCCCACCAAAGGCGTCAGCTTTGCATCTTGAATTTCCGCGCAGGTTTGCGACGTCCGCCAGCAGATTCTGGTTACCTTCGATTCAGATCGGAACGCTCGGAAGGTTGCAGAGAGCTCAGCCACGAGATAGCAAACAGAAACCCCATCACTTGAGCTGTTTAAACTCCTTATAAGAGATCATATAGGGGGTTACATAGGGAATTATTACAGAACGTATTATCGGGATGCTACGTGTTTAGACTATAGCTCACTTTGGCCAATGCCTCGGATCATCTCAAATCTCAAGGTGGAGTTTGCAGCTTTTGACGACCTGGCATCGTGCCCACTGCAACCGAAGGACAGGTAGCATTGAAGGAACGTACAGACCAATTTCAATTTTCAGGTGTTGGTTTTTGATTAGCTAGGGCTAGGGTGACCCAACTATTTCTGAGTTGCTAAGTGGTGTGTCTCTAGTATGCCTCTGGACCTTAAGAGCAGCTCACATCTGGAAAAACTACACACATCAAGTCGCAGGATTAAGCTCAGCTGTCGAATGTACAGGTGCGTAGCTTGAGCAGCTTTACAAGTACCCAGTGTCTGCAGGCCTGAAATACCTGCTGCTTAAGTGAAAGCGTTGACTTACCCCGCACCACCCAGAATCTTTTAGGATTGCAGTCCGTCCTGAAAGCAGGAGAAGTCTAAACGGAGGAAGAGTCGCAGCAAGAAGCCTCATGCCCGGGTGCCCAGCCGAGGATGCAGGCACACCGCGAAGGCTAAGTGCCTAGGTCCAGCCAGGCCTCACATGTACCGTGTTATCGAAACACTTAAATCCTATAGTAGTTTCCATTTTCTTTTCCATCATCCCTATACTACGTAACCCTAATATTATATAACCAATACAGCCCTAAAATTATATAACCCCAATATAACCCTCATATTTTGTTACCCCAATATAACCCTAATACCACCCTATTGTTATCACAGGTACTCTGAGAGTTTTCCCCCAAGAACCCTTTAAGCCTTAGGATGAGCTCGCAGAAGATCTTCGGGATGTCATCCAGGCATGGCCGAGCAGTACCCCGTTGATTGACAATATGAATGATAGTAATGTAGTCGTTTCCATTTTCTTTTCCATTCTCCTTATATTATGCCTATACATACATATATATATATATATACAGCCTATGATATTTTTGTAGTTTCCATTTTCTTTTCCATTATCCCTATATTATCCCTACATATATACCCTCCAAATCATTGCATGGTTTGCTGTCCGTGACTTCCTTCGGTGCGAGCCAGGATTTGGGACCCCCCGGCGAGATCTCAGCTGTCAGAGCCCTACTTTCTAACTTTGTTCTACCGTTGCAACTGCTTTTGTCAACCACGTGGCAAGTTTTTAAGCAGCATCTCATGGATTACAGTTCGCGTGAGGGTTTCCCACTTCAGGGGTTCCATGTAGGGGTCCCTATAATATAAGCATGGGAGTATTTTGGGATCTGTATTAGGTGCCCCTAGTCATAGAAACGACCATGTTGCCGAAGACAGCAACCCTATGACTCTGGATGTGGCCATAATAATAACATCCCCATATAACCTATATAACCCATATTCTATACCCTAGATTCCCTATATAGCCCATTACAGTAGTTTCCATTTTCTATTCCATTATCCCCAGCTTCTGATCCACCCTCGCCTCTATGAGGCTGCATCATCGGATTCCGAGTCAGACAGCTACACGTCCAGCGACTACACGTCCTCTACGGCCTCAGGCAAGGATTTTGCCTGAACTACTTGGAGGGTCATGAGGTTAATAACCCCTATAAGCCATGAAATTACACCAATTATCCCTATTATTAACCAACTGACTAAGTCCCCATGACCCTCCAAGTATAGAAGGTGATAGCTTCTTAATCTGCAGACTTTTGGCCTTCGCTGTGTGCCGAGAAGACACCCAGCTTCCGTTTCAGCTGTTATTTCCCTTGGTTACTGGTGGTTAGTAGGGAATATCGGAATATGATCCCTGTATAAGCCGCCTATATGAACCTATAAAATTCCTACATGATCCCTCTAACTATACCCCTTTATTCCCGACGAACCACCGGGCGTGGGACTTGCTGAGCAGGTTCCGACAGGGGCATTGCCACCGGGACCGAGCCTCAGGGCTCCTTCGAGCTGATCAGGTACATAGATAGTTATAGTCCCCCCTAAGTAGATAGAGTATAGGGTATAGGGTTTAGGGTTTAGGGTATAGGGTTTAGGGTATAGGGTTTTGGGTTTAGGGTTTAGGGTTTGGGTTATAGTCCCCCTTTAGTAGATAGAATATGGCTTTGGGTATAGTATAATAAGATGCCCATATACCCAATATTCTATCTGCTTAAGGGGGACTATAACTTACTGGGATTAGACAAATGGGTCATATGGGATTTTCTTGGAGTGAAACAGAATGATGGAAAAGAGAGGGGAAGCTGCTATGACTTCTCGTGGAGCTCAGTAGGGAATAAGGGATGTTTTTTGGGGGGTTTAGGGTTTGGGGTTTGGGGTTTAGGATTTAGGGTTACATAGGGGTTATAGTCCCACATTGCCTCCTAACCACCAGTACGATTATGTACTTTGTTGTGTGGAGCTATGAGAGGCTGGCTGGAAGGGTCCCGGCATCAAATATGGCACCCCGACTCTGACTATTCCCCCCAAAAAACCTACAGACCTTTGGTTTTCCACCTGATTTTCCGCTCTTCGGGTACTATACCTACCCTCAACCCTAAACCCTAAACCCACATGTCCCTTTAAGCTGACCTGGGTTTCTATATCATTTTCAATGTTCTTTTCTATTTATTTTTCCAGCTTTCTCTGCCGAGGCCCGAGTTCCATGAGGGGAGTGGCTCGTCCACGGTCACGCCCACAGAATCGGCTGATTTTGTGGTTATTCATAGTAATAATGGTAAGATTAGTAACAGTAATGGTGACACTAATAGTAAATAGTAACAGTAATAGTAAATAGTAATAGTAAAAGTACTAGTGCTAGTAATAGCAATAGTAATAGCAATAGTAATAGCAATAGTAATAGCAATAGTAATAGTAATAGTAATAGGAATAGTAACCTGTTGCCAAAAGCCCCAAAGTTGGCGGCTTCATGACGGCAGTGCCAGAATGGTGGGCTGCGAGGGGTTTAGAGGTGTGAAACGGTCAGAGATAATCCCAATATAGCCCCAATATAGCCCCAACATTATAGTAGTTTCTATTTTCTTTTTCATTATCCCAATATAACCCAAAAAAAGCCTCAATAGTATAGTAGCTTCCATTTTCTTTTCCATTATCCCAGTATACCCCAAATTCTAAATAGTAGTTTCCATTTTCTTTCCCATGGTTACAATATACCCCATATTGTAGTCATTCTTCTTGCTCGCTCATTCCGTGCCAGACGCACTGGTCGGGATTACTTGTGATATGTCTGCATTAGGTGGACCCCCCACCCAGTAATAGTGACTAAAAGGGATAATAGGGATTATATTAGGGTCCTCTTATATTCTTATTATACCACTATTACAGGGTGGGGGGTCCTGGTAATGTCTACAGACGTTTTGCTGTTCATCCGTGGATCTGTGACTTTGGGATCTGCCTCATCCATCTTTGCACCATCGCAACTTACCTGCTTGACTAAGTCGCCCGTCTTCGGACCCGAACAGGCCGCCGATGACAAGGCTCATGTTCTGTTCCATTATCCCAATATAACCCCAACATAGCCCCAACAGTACAGTAGTTTCCATTTTCTTTTCCATTATCTCAGTATACCCCATATTCTAAATAGTAGTTTCCATTTTCTTTTCCATTATCCAAATACAACCTCAACATAGCCCCAACATTATGGTAGTTTCCATTTTCTGTTCCATTATCCCTTTATAACCCCTATATAACCCCAATATAAACCCTATAATCCCTATAGTTTCCATTTTCTTTTCCATTATCCCAAAATAACCCCAATATAGCCCCAACATGATTCAGAACGCCTGAAGTCAACTTGGCCTAGGCAAATTTGAGTCCGAAAGGGTCCGTTTGGCGTAGTGGAGTTCATGTGGGTGGTTGTCAAAATTCTGGTCCCTTTTTGGATCCTTATTATAATATGGCACCTAATATTTAGAGAACCCAAAAAGGGACCATAATTTTGACAACCACCCATGTGCTATAGCAAAGGCCAAACTAAAAATCCCAAGGTCTCCAAAAAGCTGAAGTCCTCAACAGCCCAACCTCTTGCAAACCTCCCAACAGCTTAGACCTGGACTGCAGAGGCGCAAGCTGAGAAAGCCAAAGAAGCTGAGGCCGAAGTTGTTTATTGTTGTTGGTGGTGTTGTTGTTGTTGGTGGTGGTGGTGGTGCTGCTGCTGGTTGGCTAGCTGGTTTGCTGGTTGGTTGAATTTGGTTTGTGGATTGGTTGGGTGCTTTGCCGGTGGATCGTCTTCGTAGACTGCGCGGACGGTGGCAGCGGCGGTGGTGGTGATTTCAAAGGCTTGGATATCGTAGCATCTTCTAGAAGCGGGTCGAACGCATTTGGCTTGCAGCTGAGAGCACTGTTTACGTAAGTGACTTGACAGCCGAGAAGAACTAGCACAACTCTTTTGTTGGTCTGGCCTTTGCAGTTGCATCTGCAGGATAGACTGTCAGAATACTCATCCGCAGGTCCCCCTTACTAGGAGGAGATACTATGAGAGAACGACCGACGGACTTAAGACCCAGATCGGTTTGCCTCATGGCTTCTTGCAAGCTGCATCTCTTCAACTGCCGACATGACGGATCGCAGCCTGCGACTCCTGCGAAACACTCTGGAGGCGGGAGGCCAATGGCAGGTCAAAGCGAGGCTCTGCATTGGACTTACTTATCCCTAGGGCTCCAGTTACCTAAATAGTAGGTTACTGGGCTATGTAAGTATAGGGTATATAGAACCCAGTTCCCATTATTTAGGTAACCGGAGCCTTAGGGTATTTCAGGACAATGCAATTCGGCAACCGAGGCGCTCATGAACTTCCCGAGGGAGAAGTACATCGCAGACCCAAACGCCTTTACGCGACGGATCAATGATGCAGCCAACCTGCTGTAGCCTTGCTGCAAGCGTTATAGGGTTTGATGCTGTTCATTGCTTTCTGCCATTGCTCAGGTGCTGTGAAGATTGCGTTCCTGGAGGAGCCAAAGTCATAGATGAGATGATGTCGGGGGTAACCAAAACCCCATTGGATGCCCGCGCACTGATATTTGTGGTTGACCTAGTCCTGAAGCGCGGTCTTCGAGAGCAAAACCGCCACCCCAAAGCAACTGTCATGGCAAACCTGCTCAGACCATTCCTGAGCAACTGGCTGCGTGTTCTGTTGATGACACGGCGTGCACCAGAGCAACTCGAGAAGACCAAGACGATGATCCAGAGGTGGGCACACGATGGCTACCTGCCAATGGATGGCCTCCTGCCTCTCCTCGAGCTCATGGATGAGCCTCCGGGGCCAATCTCTGAGGACTCCCAGCAGTCTTCTCAATCCTTGGACTTCACGCAGTCGCAGCCAAGCAGCGACCCTCCATGCCAAGGTGGGTTTGGCAAAGTAGCCTGAAGTCCCAGCTGCCCGCAAATGCCTGCAGAATCCCTAAGGTCGCAGGGACTCCAGCAGGGACACCAAGCAGCTGGTGCCTGCACAGGCACAGCAACCCAGGCAGCCTGCTGAGAAGGAGCCTCCACTCAAGCGTGCTCGTGTTTCGGAGGAGGCCTCCATGCCACGAGAAGTGCTGTAACCTACGAAGATGTTTGTATATCTGTGCAGTCTGCAGGTGCAAAGGCCGGTGGGACAGGGCCAGGAGCCCACTCGCAGGCCAACTGTAGAGCCTTGTTGCCTTTTCTCATTTGTTAGAACGTTTTGCTATGAGGCTGTGCATGTTTGCAATGCAAGGCTGGTGCTGCCAAGTGCCCAGAAGGAGAAGAAGATCCCACCGAGGCGCTCGCTCAGCGGTTCGCTGGAGCCTGCAGGATCACCTGCCAACGCCAAACCCACGCCCAAAGCCCAAGTAGCCCACATGGCCGAGGTGGGCCAGGTTGCCCAGATAGCGCAGGTAGTCCAGGTGGCCCAGGTGGCACCGGACCCAGCCAAAGATGGGGACCAGAAGGCCAAGGATTCCTCTCAGAAGGCAACAGCGCAGGCGGCGCCGCCTGCACAGGATGACTCCAATGCAAGGACCCCCGACAAAGCATCGCAGCAGGAGGGCAAAACTGCCAACGGCACAGCGGCGCAGGAGAGTGTTGCATCATCCATTCGGGTAGTAGTTTTTGGACAACTGCTTCATATTTTTGGGAGAGGAGCCGTTCAAGTGGCGAGTGAGTGGCGACTGCCGCTGCCTCTTCCGCGCCGTCATACGCTCCTGCTTGCTGGATACTTCGCCGCAGGTAAGTGTAGTATACCGTCCTGTGTCAGGGTAATTCAGCGGACAGCGTGCTTGCGATATTCCGCAGTCATGACACTTTCTGTGGATTCTGAGACGAGGATCCTTACAACCAACAGCCGCGAGACAATCTGGGTGAGCCTGTGGACGTGGATCAGCGGACACACGAGACCCACCTGCAAACTGTGCTAACTTCGACTTAGATATGGATTTCTGATAGTTCACAGAAATAAACTCTTCCCTCATCGGAGCCGCAGCGGAAATTTCCTCTTTCGCTGGCTTTCTCGTCTAGCGGATCAGAATGTGGGTCCCAGGCTTTGGAGAATGTTCAGCTTAAAAGCTGAATGTCAAGAAGCTGTACTCCCAATTTGTTGAATGAGGCCCTTTTGCAAATGCTTTGCAAACATCTGTGTCTTTCACCCCTTCTTCCGACAGTCGGTCCTCTTGTGAGAGCGGTCCTGATAGGGCTGGTAGGGGGCGCTGAGGAGCGCGAGAGCGCTGACATGCTCCGCCGCCATCTCTGCAAGGAGCTTCAGCGGCGGAAGGAGCATCTGTGTGCACTCTTTACTTCATAGGGGTCATAGTATAGGGATAATGGATTACAGGGATCATACAGGGATTAGGGAATATGTAGGGGTTATATAGAGGGGTAATGGAAAAGAAAATGGAAGCTACTATTTAGGGTTTGACTAATGTGAGCACAGTTGTCCAAGTCCTCTGTGCTTAAAGGCCTTGTATTGTTGGATGCTATCCACTTGATCGACTGTCTTGGTGGTGCTTGAGGACGAGGTCGAGCCGTTGTTAGAGCACAGCGAGTTCGAGGCACTCAGCATGCCTGAGCTTGCATGCTTGTAGTAGAAATATCAGTTATAGTCCCCCTTAAGTAGATAGAATATGGCTTTGGGTATAGTATAATAAGATCCCCATATACCCCATATTCTATCTACTTACGTAATTGTTGCTATATTACTGTGCATGCCTCAAGAGCAGTAGGGAAGTGGATCCTTGGAAGCAGCCCGAAATTATTTGTACATATCCCTTCAACAAGTGCTGATATTCACTCCGCGCCCCAAGCTCACTATTCGTTCCCTACGGAAAACCCTATAGTTTCTTGTGCTTCAGGTCTACTTGAAGCGGATGGGCGAGTGGCAAACCTGGGGTGACGAAATCTGCCTGAAGTGCCTTATTTGATTAGTACATGTTTAAGGTTAGGGTTTAGAGGTTGGGATGTAGGGGGTTTAGGTTCAGGATTCAGGGTTTGGGTTAGTATGTGGGTGTGGGGTGTGGGGTTAGTCCCATAATGATGGAAAATCCCATGGACAGTCAAGTGGCACATACGTGACATGGAAGCTGGCAGTATGCATTGGGTTTACTGTAGTACCCACACCCTCTCGGTTGTATAGGTTTCCAAGAAAAAGGTTCATTCTCCATGCCCAGGAACTGATGCTTGTACATATAGTTCGTGTGAGTTTTAGAATGAATATCCCAGCTGTGACCTGGAGGTAATTGGGGATCTCTTGAGGTTTGCATAGTGAAGAGCTGTTGGAAGGTAGTCTACTTAAAGGCTTCGCCTCCTTCTTGATCAGACGCCGGTCATTCCCTTCGTGAGGTTCTTGCCGGATGTGGTGAAGCAGCCGCTGCAAGTTTACTCCTTCAACTGCGAGAAGCAGGAGCTCTTTGATGCGGGGCTGTACCTCCCGACCAAGAAGGACAGGCAGAAGTTCTTGAATGCTTACTTGGCTTGTGAAGCCATGATCCAGGAGTATCATGGGAGAGAGTGCATTGTCCTCCTTCATAACGGAAGGTTCCTGGTCGGATTCAACCGGAAGCTAAACTTTCAGCTGCTGTTTGTGTTTGCTTGCCACTCTGAACGCTGAACCCCAAACTCGAAGCGCTGAGGTCTCACTTCGATTTAGTCTCCAAGCAGTGGCTTCAGGGCTATGAGCGGCGGCTTTTGGCACAGCAATGATTTTCCTACGAAAGCTATTGTGGGAGTAAGTTCTATAAGGGTGATATAGGGATTATATGGGGATACCCTAAACCCTAAACCGCATGCCCAATAATGGAGAATGTGAGCAAAGCTCCCAAACCTTGAGAGCAATGTAGGTGTAGGCTAGGTGGTAGGTGCAGCGGCCCCTGCCTGTTTCGTCGGAGTCTGTACAGCCATTTGAGCTATAGTCTAAACTCCTTAAAGGGGGTTATATAGGGGGAGTACTACAGGGTTAAGGGGGATACTAGGAGTTTAGACTATTGCTCGTCCCATTATGGGTTGGGTGCTGGGCTATCTCGGCTCTTTGTCATGCAACCTCCAGTTCCGCGGTCCTTGCCGTCGGAAATTAAATCTCTGTGCGATGTGAAACCCCGCACGTTAATGCTCTCACTGTTCAGGTGCTGCAAAGAAGCCTGGGCAGAAAAGGGTTGCAGTATGTATCCAGCTGCCGCAAACAGCAGTCCAATGCATACTTTCCAAAGCTCCAGCTCTTGGTTCACCTACATTCACTGGTCGTTAGTAGGGAAGAAGGGAATATACTCCTTATCATCACTATACAAGATATTCCCTTATTGCCCTACTAACCCCCAGTAAGTTTAATCCCTATTGTTGAATAATCTAGGGAAGGACGACAATTCAATTGTAGGTAGTTTCCATTTTATTTTCCATTATCCCAATATATGACCCCTCTATAATCCTTATAATCCCTGTAGTTTCCATTTTATTTTCCATTATACCGAAGAGATTAGATAGGGCTGGAAACAGTTGAATACTAAATTGACAATTCCAGAACCACCCCTAATTCATTATTAGGTGGCCTCTTTTAAAGTGGTCTTGCCCTTTTAAAAGTGCTCTTCGGGATTTTTACGCCCCTGCATTTGTTAATTTGATATTAGGAGGGTTGAAACTCCCCCAAACACATGATGCAGGACGCGGTCTGCCCCAAAATCAGGCTCCCGCTCTACAAGCAAGCAACTTGTAAACTGCTAGACTGGTGGATCAAATGGAACATCAAGCGGAAGATGAAACGGAAGCTACTTTGCATAGGGTCATAGGTATTACATCCCAGGCTCCAGAAATAGTAGGGGGACCTCAATACAGATTCCAAAATAGGATGACTCCGCCAAAAAGGGAGCACCAGAATTTTGGAAACCAAACCCTAAATCCTAAAACTTGTATATCTCTATATAACCCCTATATACCCCTGTATAACCCCAATAATCCCTTAACCAATCCTAAGCCCAAAGCTCTAAGCCCTCAACCGCGTGACTCAGAAGAAACTGCAGGCTTGGTCTGGATCCAAATCCCCGCGTTCAGGTTTGAAGGTTTAGGGGGCAGAGTTTTGATTGAACCTTGGTCAATCCCCCACCCAGTAGCGGGTACTGCAAGGGACTATTGTAGGTATACTTAGGCCCGACTGACTCCATATATAGGGGCTAATGCTATACTATAGGGGGGAAATTGACCTAAATTGAACCTGATATTTGTACCTTGCTCTTGGCTACATGTCAGTTGTTATTATAATTACGAATAATACTCTCTATTACAAGTATTTCGATTACTAGTATTGCTACTATTACTTTGCCTTAGGACTTGCATATTCAGGACCTTACCCCAGACTTCAGCGCTGCGAGGTGTTAGGTCCAGGAGTTGTGGGTGGCAGAGTCCTAGGTTGCTGTTAAGGAACTTAATTCAAGTTACTATATTGGGGAAATCATGTTGTTCACTCCATACCCACGATGGTAACTTAATTTACGTTCCTTAAATCCCTATATTCCTTCAATTTCCATTTCATTTTCCATTTTCTTTTCCATTTGATTCTCCATGATAGGGGGATAATATGCCTAAACCCTAAACCCTAAACGCCCTAAACCCTATATACCCATTATGGTAACAGAATTTAGATTCCTTTACAGCAACCCAGTGTCGAGCGGAAAGGCCCGCGCCAAGGCGGCGGCAGCCATCCAGGCGGACGGGAGGGTCAGACGGGCGAATGGATGAGATGCGATGTTTCATGTGAGCTACAGTCGAAACTCCTTAAAGGGGGTTACATAGGGGGTATTATAGGGGAGTATTATAGGGGTTCTTCAAGGGATGCTAGGAGTTTAGACAATGGCTCATGTCTATTTCAAGTCTAGCTTCTGCTGGCGCATGTTAGGTCTATCATCAGGAGTAGGTTTGCAACGTTATCGGGTACAAGCACAATGCAGAAATCAATCACGTCCTCGTCGGTTCCAGGCGTTGGTGATGGTGCAGTTTGCAAGAGCGGCCTCTATGTCAGGCTGCCTACCGCAACTATCGCGAGACCACAGAGGTTGTGGCCAAGGTTGTCTGGGCAGGGGACAAGCTCTATAATAGATTATATTATACTATATTTTAGTCTAATATAGTATAGTATAATAAACTATAGTAGCTATAGTACGGTATGATATTAGTAGCTTTCCGCGATGAGATGTTGGTTTAGTGCATAGCGCGGCCGGGACAGTTGACAAGTCTGCCAGGGCTGGAGACAATAATGGTAGTAATAAAAGTAGTATTAAGAATAATATTCATACCAGTAGCAGTAGTAATAATAATAGTAGTGATAATAGTCATAATAGTACTACAGTCAATAGTAGTAAATCGGATTAGTAGGAATAATAGTAAAAATAGAAATAATAATAGTAATAATAGTAGCTTGAGTGACGTCGTCATGGCACACATGGAAGCTCGTCTGCCCTATGCAAGGCGCTGGTCTCACATCTCCAAAGCACGGGTCCTGGCTGATTGGTGATTTCTGTGACGTTGTCATTTCAGCTTGCAAGAGAGCTAGACTCTGACTTGTTCCTCCTTCGCCAAGCCCTTCTTCCTGATACTGAGGGGTTTTACCCTGCAGCAGCTAGTTGTAGCGGAATATCGCCTCAAGTTACTTCTGCAGGCGGCATTTTAACATCGGTAGAGTAAGGGTCCGCTCGTTTCAGGTCCCCCTCCAGCACCTCCTTCGCCGGGCCGCCTGCAGAGCGCAGCAAACCTGGCGTCCGACTCAATTTTGGGGTTGTAGTTTTTGTACATCAGGGTACTCTGCAGGTCTGGGTTCAGTCTTTGTTGTAATCTGGGGCTTCTGGCACTGGAGTTCTTTCTACATCGCTCTTGCATGGATGGCTGAGCGTTGTCTTGCGAAGAGGGCCTGAAAGTCGATTATGGACTCAATACGTTCGGTCGGTCACACCTAGAGCAACTACAAGAGTCATTGAAGCACAGTGTGGGTCGCCTCACTGGGTTGCTGTTACGGAACTTTAAGTGAGTTATTGTGATAAAGAAACCCTATCATTTGCTTTATACCCAAACCATGGTAGCTTAACTTAAGTTCCTTGACAGTAATGCCGCTTATGCGCTGGTGATTCCTTTTTGCAGTCCAGCTTGTGATGGATAGCCCATACACTTGAACCCACAAACAGATGCGAAGTCTAGGTCCGCAGCATCGTGCGGCGCTACCAGGCCAAGGCGGAGTGTGGCTGAGCATAGGATGATAGGACCTGGAGCAAAGAAACTTTGACAGGCTCTGCTGGCATGTCTGGAAGTGGAGCAAGCAGAGCTCGAGCGACAACGAAAGGTGCAGGCAAGACCTGAAGAGAGTCTATAGCTGCCAGCCTTGAATTTTACGCCTCCTCCGGACAGGACGGCGCTGCAAAGATCATCCAGTCAGCTGTTCGATGCTTCCAAGTCCAGCAGCAGCTCCAGAGCTTTGCAGCGATTTGCCGAAGCTCGCGGTCATGGCAGGGCGCCTGCAAGCGATTTGCCGCGCAGGGGATGCTGCTTGAGGCATGGGACGCCGAGCACAAGAGACGCTGTGCAGCTGCTGTGCAGCTACAAGCTGCTCAAAGGTCTTTCTGGGCTCAGCGCGAGCTTGCCCGGCGAAAGGCAATGCGGGACGGCTTGCTGCTCCTGGGGCCCAAGGAGCACCAGTGCGTGCGTCTTTTCCAGCGTTGCGGCCGCCGTTATCTGGCTTGCCTCGTGGTCTTGGAGGCGGAGAGACACAGGTGGCGCTGCGCCCGTCGCATCCAGGCATACTGGCGAGGGCAACGGTGCCGGTGCGCTATGGCGGATACGCTCCTCGAGTGGCGGCGTCGGAGGAATCTGGCCCTGGGCTCAGCAGTCTATGTAGGCCCCACCCTTCTACATGTTGTGCAATGAAGTAACGCAAAACGTGCTTCGGCACAGCTTGGTTTGATGGCTTGGTACACACGTTGCCACTGCGTCTCAGCCATGACTGGCCCAAGCTTCCAGATGTAGGTAGGTAGTTGCAGAGGTGTTGGTGCCTCATGCTTCTGGGCAAGAGTTGTCTTGATGAGCGCCTTGTGCCGAAATCCACACTGTCCTGCCTCAATGACGATGAGAGGCCATGCTCTTCTCATTGGAATCCTTCGGTCAAAAACCACTCGCCTGAAAGCAAGTTCAAATGCGCAGGCAGTTGATTCTGAGCTTCGTGTTGGGCGACCTCACGTGCTACCCCCGCGTTGCCGCCATCGACAGTAGGTTCTTTCTGGCCTGCACTTCCTTGGGCTCCTGGCAAGCCTCTCGTCCTTCCTGGAGCGACGTTCAGGATCACTGTAACGGGGTCGCAGCAGACCTGCAAGCTAAGGAATGCGTGATTGAAATTCCTCGTAAGTGGGCTACAAAGGAGGACCATCAGTTTCTGAAGTCTGCTCGATCAACCTGTGGCACTGGAGGAGTGTGTGGAACAGCTGCTAAAGCTTTCAAGCGTCTTGGACTTGCAGGACGCCAGCCAGTCCAAATTTGTCAGATGAAAGTCAGAGGTAGACTGTTTGAATTTGAGGCCAAATCTAGTTGGTTTTTGGCTCCTAAGGTCGTTGGCGGCTGGCGCAGAAAGCCGTCCTCCCGCCCTTTCCGCAGCGGCAAAGGCTCCAGGACGTCAGTTGGAATTGAATTCCAGTGAGCTATGCCTCCATGGTGTTCTTACGAGTTTAAGGGTTTTGGAGTGCTTGCTGTCCAAGCCTTCACTTTGGAATGGACTGCGCTGTGGCGAGCCATGTCACTTAGATGCGTTTTCCGCGCTGAAATCAAGAATTGCATTTCCGCCTACTGTTACTTGCTACTTCTGGATTACTTGCGGTGAGAGCAGCAAAACAAGACCAGGGTTACATTGATAAACGAGGATATCATCTCTACACGAGCCTCAGAAATTCCATTAAATACTGAACAACCAGCAGAAGAATGAGCTCTAGCTCACCCCCAAATAACCCGTGTATAACCCCATCTAACCTCTATGTAACCTTAAACCCTAAACCCTAACAACAGAGTTTCAGACAGGACCAGCTGGCGAAGGAGTGCCCCCGCCTCGTCTTGGCTGCCTCAGGAGAGGGACTCTGGGACATAAGTACATGCTTGCTTTTGGTAGTAGGATTCTTCTTGGTGTTGTATGGCTCTCATTGCTGCGCTTCTTCTTTAACTGTAGTAAGAACGATAGTAATCATAGTAATAATTAATGATAATGATAGAATAATGGTAATCATAGGGTGAAAATGTGACGGCTGCAATTAGGCCTTTGACGACATCTTAGAGACCGGTAAGAAACTCACGTGAAATCCACCCCAGCTTCAAGGTTTACAGGATCCTCAGCCATGTTTCTCGGAGTTGTGGTTTTGAGAGATGTTTTCAAAGTAGCAAACACGACTTTCCAAGCAGTTGCATCCTGCCCACTTTGTTGATTCGGACGATGGCATCAGTCTTGCTAAGGACCGTATCTGCTCTTCGTCATGGGCTGCAACTTAGCAATTGGATCCAGGATGTCTTTGCACTTCTTCGAGCCCCGGTACAGCATCTTGCCTTCAAGTGCTCAAATTAACATTGTTGCTGCAAGCGTTGCATTCCTTGTGTTAGGCAAAGGGTGATGCCCCAAAGACATGCCCCGAATGCTTAGCAATAGTACGAGGATGGATGTGCCGCAGACTCTTTGCGGGGGAGCCGCCGTATATGTTTCTCGACGCACTTCTGCCTGTCTGGAGCACGGCATCCTCCTGCCTTGCTCCTGCAACCCAATATAACCCCTATAATCTCTATAGTTTCCATTTTCTTGTCCATTATCCCAATACAACCGTAATCTTTATATAGCCCCAAGATAACCCGATAATCTCAATAGTTTCCATTTTCTTTTCCATTACCCCAATATAACCCTAATCCTTATATAGCCCCAATATAACCCCTACAGTTTCCGTGTCAGGTTTGGTTTTGTAACGCATGGCCGCGCCAGAGAAGGTTCACGTGGTGTGCTTTGTCAGGCTACAGAGTCTCTGCACAAGACGGGTTTAGGGGGGCGGAATGGTTGGCAGCATTCAAAGGTAGTGTGAAGGCACATCGGGGATGTGTAGCTTGCTGCTTGATATCAGAAAAATTAGAGGCAAAGGGCTGAGAAAGCACTTTGCAACAGATACCCTAGGGGTTATATTGGGGCTATATAAGGATTAGGGTTATATTGGGATAATGGAAACTGTAGAGCTTGTAAGCTGGGACAACCCTGGGATGATGCAAACCATCCTCAGGATTGGACACCCAACAACAATGGCACCTATGACGTGTACATTCGAGCAGAGGCTACATTCACTCTGACGGAGGTCTGGCATGAGGTGCCTAGGCGTCGAAAATTTTTATCTACGTCTGCTACAGTCAATTATAGTATATTCTAATATATTCTCATGTATTCTTATTTCTGATAGTATTTTGCAGTATATTAGTTACTTATATTATCTCAGTATCAGATTTTTTTGGAAGTTTTGCCAAAGTCCCACACTGCTCTGGGTGGTGGATAGGTGCAATTTGTCGGTTGCAAAGTGACGTGAGGATCTTCCACACAGCTCCCCCCTTGCCCTCGGCTTTATCGAGATCACTTCACGAGCTCCTCCTAGCCAAGGAGGAGGCAGTCAAGGGCTAACTAACCCTAAACCCACACAAAAAACTCCAAACCCAACAGTCTGAAGGGTTGCAAAAAAACCTTGAACCCTAGGTAACCAGGTATCATCCCCCTTGAGTAGATAGAATATGGGGTATATGCGGGACTTATTATAGCATACCCAAAGCCATAGTCTATCTACTTAAGGGGGACTATACCCTAAAACCTAAACCCTAGATAGTAGTTTCCATTTTCTCTTCCATTATCCCTATATAAATCCGATATAGCTCCAATCCCTAAACCCTAAACCCTAAATTCTAAACCACGTCACCCCAAGCAAGATGACTCTGAAGCTCGAGCAGAGAGCCATTCGTAAGTCCAGGTGAAAGCAGCCCCCGGCTGTTGTCATCCAGGACTTGGTTCTATAGGAACATAATGGGATTATATAGGGACTACATAGGGCTGTAAAGACATATAGAGATATGTATATATCAAGGGATATATATATATATATATATATGGCCATGTAGCTCCTTTTTTTTAAAGAGAGTAGAAAGAGTTCTATGGGGGCATGGAATTCAACTTTGCACTTCAAGTTTTCGCCTCGTTCCGAACGGTGTAGACAGGTTTGGGCATTGTTTCCTTGAGTTCGTGTTCTTGGTCATATAGGGGTTATACAGGTAATATAGGCAACATATGGGGGAACATGAGGATTACATAGGGTTACATATTCATATGCCATGGGAACATCAGGCCTCTTTGAATAAATTGATGGTGCGCCGGGTTGCATCTCGCTGCAAGGAATTCCGGACGGCGGTGCTTCCCCTTGGTCTCGCTCCGCAGATGGCTGTCGAACCTGAGCACATGCTGTCCGCGGAGAATTTAGTCCACAGATGTCCACAGTTTCCCGCACGGGTCAAGCTTAGCTGAGTCGTGGCGGAGAGTGGCATGTACATACCCCTGTGGAACTCTGCAGAATCCCTCGAAGCGTAAAGGAGCGTGCCTAAGCTACGCGCGCCCACTTTCAAGTCAGAATCAGTACTCATTCGCACGAAGGCTTCAATGTTGGAGCCCAAAGCGTAGCGTTCTCTTTTCAAGAGCTGCACAAAGCAGCCAGACATAGCATAGAGGCGACCTCAAGGGACACTCTTGAGTTGCCAACCCCACTTCATGAAGTCACTCACTCGAAGCTCAACTGGGTTGCTGTTAAGGAACTTAATTCAAGCTACTATATGGCGGGAACACTATGATTTACTATATATATACCCATTATGGTAACTTACTTTATGTTCCTAAACAGTAACCCAGTCAATCCGGCTGACAGACCCTGAGCCTGAGATCTTTGACGATGCCAGTGCTGGGCTAAGGCAGCAAGCCGTATCCAGTCCTTTGCCCGGGCCATCCAGGACAGGAAGAGGCGGAGCCTTCTAGAAGCAAAACGAAACAAAACACATATCCCCAGCTTCCATGTCATGTTCCATTTTGCTTTTCCTTTTGAGTAGCCATGATGGACGTACTATCCTTGTATGTCCTTATAAAGTATAGTATACTATAGTATATTATAGTATACTATAGTAGATTATAGTATATATTATAGTATATATTACAGGGGGGAGGCCTGGGCTTCGTGACTTGGTGCCAGGTTCAAAGCGGAGAGGCTCCGTCGAGATGCTGCCACCCAGTGGGCATGGGGCTTAGCACTTCTATGCTTAGAGCGCACGGAGGCTTCCCTGTCATACATTTGGGTTTATATGGGGAATATAGAGGGATTGTATAGGGGTTATTAGGGTTTGGAGCTGCTGTGCTCATCTTGTCTCTGGGGATGAATGGGACTCACACAGTCATTCAGGTCTTTCTTGACATTACCTGTGCGCTTGGATAAGCTATTTCCCAGATCCAAACGGCCTGGCGCCGCCACGAAGCGCAGAAAATCACGAAAGAGCTGAGACGGAGGCCAGAATCATTCCTGCTGGAATCTGCAGTGTAGGGTTGTGTACTGTAGTGTCCAAGAAGGGATTCCGAGGAAGTGGGACCGTCTCCTGAAACAGTCGGGTCATGCATGGGATGCAGCAATTTGAGGGTTGCCAGTTTCTAGTGGTCCCCGCCCAGCCTCTGCAGCCTTCAACTGCAACCTGTACTAATCGTCACGGTTACGCAGGCGTGCAGAGCTGCGTGCTTGCGTCCACCTGCAGCGCCAGTGGCGGGGCCACGCCGTGCGCCGAAGTCCGGCGGCCCAGGAATCAAGCTGGATTGATGGAGGTAATGCCAGGTAGTTGCCTTGCTGCATTGCTGCGCATCACAGCCAGGATTCAAAGAACCTTCTAGCTACTGCCGGATTTCTGGACCCAAAACATCCCAGAACCATCAGGAACCGTAGATGCCGCGTGCGGCAACGAAAGAGCTGTAAACTTCATTCTCAAGAAGCCAGCGAAGCGCCCGCCAATGGTAACAGTGCATCATGATGCAAGTAGTGCGTACAATGCTGTGAGCAAAGTTTGTAACAGTCCGCATTCAACAACTTGGGCCAAGACTCTGTGGCAGCTCCGATGGAGGGATAACCTCGCCATGCAGGTACCAGACCACAGCTGCGGAGACGGCAGAATGCAGCTGCCCGTTGCGCCCTTACAGACATTATGGAGGGGGCTCCAAAGCTAGAGGCACATATTAAACTCCCTATACAAGCCTTGTATAATTCCAAATAATGCGAAGAAGTCTGTTTGTTTCGTTTTGCAACTGAATCAAGCAGCGCTCAACTCTGCTTGCGAGTGTCTTTGTTTCTGGGCCGTTGCCTAGCAATCATATTTTGTTCGAGAGCTGCAAGCGCGGCCCTTCTGTTGTATAGTATGGGGTCCTAAAACAATAACATACCCGATTGACAGGCAAAACACACACGCACAACGCACACACTGGAACCAAGGGTTGTGGGCAACTAGGGGAAACACTTGTAGACCCTAAGCATTGGACATGAGTCATCTAAACTCCTAGTATCCCCCTTAACAACCCCTATAATAGTCCCATATATAATCCCCTATATAATCCCCTATATAATCCCCTTCAAAGAGGTCAGTCTATGGCTCACATGAAATCCGGACTTTAGACCTGGCCTTGGCTACTCTCTGCAGGCATGCAAGGTCTGTGCCGGATCCGTAAGGCGAGGAGGGAGGCCGCTGGGATTTGGCACCAGGAGTTTACGGGGCATGCGGGGACAAAGCGTTGGTCCGAAAGTCTCTGCTAGGTTGGTGGATCCGGACCATGCCCAATAATGTATTATAGTATATATTACGACTAGTAGTATTATTAGTATCATATTTTTTGTAACTATTCCTTGTATTTGTTTCGTAGGCCAGTCCTGCCCTCGCTTCATCAGTATCCTCTCTTCTCTGAAGATGCAGGTGGTATCATACGAACTACCCAGTTTGAGAACAGTCTCTATATCAGTCCAAACCCCGAACACTCAATATTCCCTCCAATGCCTTCAATACATATATATATATATACACATACACATGTCATGTATGTATATATGTATATGTATTTTGTGTATGCACATAACTTGGCATTCTACTGTGGACACATATATATAGAAAAAACGTATATGTATATATATATATATATTCATTCACAGATAGGTGTATATACACGGGTACTGTAGGGGGGACATTTCTTGTTGGCGCAGTTTGCACGTAAACAGGTGGAGAGGCTGCGCAAGGAGCTCGAGCTCCGGCGTGAGGCTGCGGTCACCAAGATCCAGAGTTGCATGTGCTGCGGCAGCACTGAGTTTTGCAAGTTCTTGGGCATGAGGGTGATAATCCCCTTCTAGTGTATATAGTACCATTGTCTAGTCTGGGGACAGCGTCTTGAAGTGGGGTTGGACTATGAATGACTATGAGCTGCAAAGCAACAGGCAAGGGAGCACGAACATCTCAGGCGCGGCATGTCTGCGCGAAAAAAGGTTGCGAGCTCGGAGCTACTGAAAGCCGTTTGATCGGGATTTACCAGCAGTAAGGCAGCGATTCATGCCTGGTTGGATGACTGCCGTGAACGCCAAGTCATGACTGGGGTGGCAAGCTGGCTCATGTCAGGTGTTGCCTCTCATCACTTTCCGGCGCTTAGCAGTGCAGAGCTCGGATTTAGTTTGAGACTCCTGGTACAGATGCAGGTGCCATTTAAGCCTAACCAATTTCAAGCTTGTGAATTGAGGTGATCCGAATGCAGGCCTTCCTGCGAGGAGTCCTTGGGCTTCGGCCTCAATTGCGATTCTGAAGCAGTGTCGGTGTTTGTGTTTTTCACGCACCTCGCCCGTAATGTCTTGATTTCCAAGGCGAGCACGGGCACGAATCCTGAAGCGGCATCGTGCTGCTGTCAAGGCCCGTACCCTGGGTTTGTCTTCCGGTAAGATCTCCAGGAGCAACTTCCCCTGCACCAGCCAAGCAGATTCCAAAGCTTGCCATTGCCGTGGTAGGATTGAGCCGGCATCAACCAAGTACAGGCGGATTTTCCAGTCGAAGAGCAGACTCAATCTGAATCTCCTCCCAATATGTCTGCCTTGCCAAGCAAGCAAGAGCCATGGCATGCCTGTATCGCAAGTCCTGATCCAATGTTTAGAATACTATGGTTATCGTGGTTTCCGCGACAGTGCCTTCCTACAGCAGTGCTTGCACTCTGGGGCCTCTTGTATGGGCGGTGAAGGTCTCGCTCACGCTAGTCCCAGTACTTGCCCGGGTTCGGGCTTCTCGATTTCATAGGCACATCGCGCTGTCGCCAGAGTCCGGCGTCCTTTTTACACCGACTTGATTTCCCTCAACGTCCATTGATCATTCTGATGCTTCAATTGCTCGAGCTGTCATATTTGTCGCAGCCCCGAACTGTTCGGCATCTCAAGCTCTCTAAAGGTGTTGCCCTTGCCTCTGTTTCATGGGGACTTGCGCTTGACTTTGTGGTTTCGGTTCCCTCGCCACAGCCGCTTGCTTATCTCGGCTGTTCGTGCTTTTTCTGTGCAAGATTCTTCACCTTCGGATTCAGGGTGCCCCCACAACCGTTGCTGTTCTTGGATACTCCAGGTCGCAGTGCTGGTCATTATCATTCCTTCTGGACACCTCTGCAACATTTCTTCTCACGTTGCCCCGCTCTTGAAGTACTTGGGGCGTTATCCTGGAATCTCTTGAACTGGTGAACTGGTCCGGGAGTGCCCCAAAGCAGCTGGAGCGCTCGAGCCTGTTTGGAGTCTAGGCCAGCGGATGTCACTGGGATTGCGTTCACTCCTACTGCTACGATTACTGGGTTATCGTTAAGGAACTTAAATTAAGTTGCCGGAATATGGGTATATGGTAAGTAATAGGATTTCTTTATCATAGCAACTGAACTCATGTTCCTTCACAGCAACCCAGATTATGTTGTTAGAGCCGGCCCACTTTCCCCAACTTTGTGGATGGCTGAGCCTGGACCCTGCTGGCAGATCGAGACCTTCTGGCGCGTGGCGCTTGCCAAGGCGGAGGCCATGCGACGAAGGGCGCAGGAGCCCCAGAGGGCATAGTGTTGAGGGGGTTAGGGATTTAAGATTGCAGGTAATTCTGGTAGCTTAAAAATGCAAGCTGCGAGTAGCTTCTAATGGTAGAAAATTGGAATTGCAGCAGCAGCCACAGCTTTTGACGGTGCTGCTAGCAACAGAAATATTTTTAAGGAGGCAGAAGAATTGGTGGTGGTGGTGGTGCTGCTGCTGCTGGTGGTGCTGGTGGTGGTGCTGGTGGTGCTGGTGGTGGTGCTGGTGCTGGTAGTGCTGGTGATGGCGGTGCTGCTGCTGCTGCTGCTGCTGCCGCTGCCGCTGCCGCTGCTGGTGCTGGTGGAAACAGTGGTTGTACTGGTGGTGCAGTCACGATACTTGAAGTAGTAATGGAAGTGGCAGTGGTAGTAGGCCGTGGTAGACAGCGTGCAACCACTTACTGATCATGAACAAAATATGCCTGACTTTACATGCCCGTACCAAAACTGTGGGAAGTCTGGCAAAGTAGTACATCGGGGTCAAGCGGGTCTTGTCCATCACCATTACTAGTGTTAGCTGGGACAGGTTCTATGCGGAAGTCATAGTCCTGTTTTGGCTGTGCAGCTTGAGGTTCCGCAATGAATGAGGCTGCGAAGTGTTCAAGCGGGTAGCTTTCAAGGGTGAGCAATTTTAGCCATCAAAGGGACCTGTGCTCCTCTAGTGCCCTGACATGAAGGAGTGAGGGGATAAGATGCTGATGTGTTAAACCAAGTATATAGGGTATATATTGGGACTATATAGGGATAATGGAAAATAAAATGGAAACTACTAGGGTTTATAGGGATTGTATAGGGTATATCATGGTTAAGTTCTGGAAGCATCAGGCCCTGGCTTGCAGTCTGAGTCTCTTAGAACCCCATGGCACTG